GCAATCACATGCAATTTGTATAAATGCAAACAAATTTACTTCAATTTAGTTCTTTTTAAATATTTTTACCACAAAAAAAAAAACACGAATTTCGTTACCGTAAAACCTATGCTCATTTTATATCAAACCTAACTAGAAATCTAAAAATGTGTATCAACTATTATTTTTCAAATCATTTTTATTAACTTTCTCGTTCAAGCGCTAGAGCTTTCACGCGCAACAAAAAGCTCCGCGCGAGGCCGCTAAATACAAGAAAAAGCTTTTGCCACCTTAAAAAAATTCTTTTCTTCAGATAAATTAATATTCCATTAAATTTTTACTTAGTAAAATGCCGATGCATTTTCTTTTCTTTCGTAAAATATCCATCAAAATGTATAGATTAGCTAATAATATAATTATAAATAAATCACTGTTAAAGGTGCCACCAAATTGTTCCTTCTATCTTTCCAACAATATTTGGTTTGTAAATAAATAAATAAAAAAAATTTAAATAGTGATAAAAAAATAACACTAACACATGTGTGTAACAAGCGCTTAATGTTAAAACAAAAAAAAATTAAGCTAAAAAGAACAAAAGTGAACATTTTTTACAACGAAATTAATATCCGGAAATTAATTAATTATATTTCTTTTTTCTGTAAACAAATATTTTTTTTTATTAATTAAATTGGTCATTGCGTATTTATGTATAATTAATGAGTGGCAACTAAACATTCGTTATTAATTGAAGGGTGAGAAAGTGAGTATGAGAGCGGGAGGTAGGCGTATTGAGAAATTTAAACATTTTTAATATTATTTAGTATTTATGGACGTTGAATTTTTGATATTTCGTTTTAATTTTTTTTATTTAATATGAAACAAAAAAAATTGTGATTTGTTATATTTGATATTTATTAGATATTTTAGTATATGTATGTATTAGTTTGAATTTTCAGTTAAAAAAATTTGAGAAAAATCACATCTAATTTACATATATGTACGCTTATAAGGGCTGCAGCGATTTTCGGCTCAAAATATCACACTTACTGAGTTCAGTTTCGAAAAATCAGTTTTATTTGACGTCTAGCTCGCGTTTTTAGAACGACTTTATGTTGTGACTACAAATTTTCTTTGAGAGGTATGGTAGGGTATGACATACAATTATAAATGCGTTTCCATTTTATATGAAAGAAAATTTGGAAATTATTAATTTTTCCGCGATTGCCAAGTTATTAGCATTGCGTACTGCCGTAAATAATTGTAGAAAATTAATTAAATAAAAAATTAAATTAAGTTTTTTTATTGCTGCTTAGTATACGAGTACACTGTAGGTCCCTCCATTTGCTGGGAAAACATCGAGATTCATACCACAAAATGAAGGAGGAGCGCCAATTATATTTACGAGTATATATATATATATATATATATATCATATCTCATGATGTTTTATTATTTTTCCATTTATTTATAAAGAGTTTCAATAAGCGGACGTAACTATTTTCATCAATTTTATATGTATGTTATATAATAAATAACAAGAAATAAAAAAATCTTTGATAATATGGTGAACTGAAGTAACATCTATCATTGAATTAATTTTCAGGTTGAGTTGGGTGAGAAAAAAATGAAAAATGGAGAGAAAATAGAGAAGAGGTAGCTGTTTCATTTTTTTTAATTTATTTAACTTAAAATATTTAAATTTTTTTAATATTGTCGTTATTAATATTTTTTTCAATATCTTTATTTGTTTATTTGAAACATATTTTTTTTTAAATTTATTTAACTTAAAATCTTTAAATTTTTTTAATATTGTCTTTATTATTATTTTTTCAATATCTTAATTTTTATATTTGAAATATATATTTTTTTAAATTTTGTTATATTTTAGTTTTACTTATAAATTTTTTAATTTTTAATTTAATTATTTTTTAATTTATTATTACTTCTTCAACTTTTTGTTAAATTCTCTAATTTTCGTTTTAGTTTTTCTATTTTTATATATATAATTTTTAGTTTTATCTAACTTTTTTATTTATTTCTTTTATCGATCTTTTGTTAATTTTTTAAATATTTTGAATTAATTGGTTTAAATTTTTTTTCTCCGTTTTAATTTGTATTAATTTTTTATTTGCATTATTATTTCATTTTTCTTTAATTTTTTTCTTTATTTAATACTAATTTTTTTAGGAATTTTTTTTTCATTCTTTTAAATTTTTTATAATTATATTCTTAGTTTTGTTTACTATTTTTGTTCATTTTTATTTGTTTGGTATATTTTTATTTTCTTATTTTTTATTTCTTTTCCTTTTTTTAATCTTTAAATGAATTTTTTTATTTCTATTTTATTTTGGTGTATTTCATATAAAAAAAATTATTTTTAATTTTTTATGTATTTTAGTTTTGATATTTATTTATATATTTGTTTCTTTTTATTAATTTCATATTATTGTTTTTTAAATCTTAATTAAATTTTTTTATTTTTTTTTCTAACATAATTATGTTTTAATTTTTGTTAGTTTCTTTTAATTTTTTCATTTTTTTTTTTAATTTTTGTAATTTTTTTTTCTATTTTAAATTTTTTAATATCTTTTATTTTTTTAAGTTTTTTTAATTTCATTAATTTTTCTATTTGAATTTCTTATTTCATTTTTCTTTAATTTTTTTCTTTATTTAAATTTAATTTTTTTAAGGTTTTTTTTTTATTTTTTTAATTCTTTTATAATTATATTCTTAATTTTGTTTACTATTTTCATTCATTTTTATTTATTTGGCATATATTTATTTACTTGTTTTTTTTATTTTTTTTCCTTTTTTTAATTTTTTTTTTATTTCTTTTTATATTCATATATTTCATATTAAACTATTTTTTATATTTTTATGTATTTAATTTTTAATATTTTTATATTTTTTTTTAAATAATTGTTTTTAATATTTCATTTATAAATTTTAATTCTTTGATTTTTTTCGATTTCTAATGTAACTATGTTTTAATTTTTTAAAATTCTTTTTTTCAAATTTTTTTAATTTCTTTTATTTTTTAGGCTGTTTTTTAATTTTTTGAGATTTTTTATATTTTGTTTAATTATTATATTGTTATTACTTTTTCAATTCTTTTTAACAATGTAAATTTTTTCATTTGTTTTAAGTTTTTTATGTATCTAATTTTTAGTTTTTTTAATTTATAACTAATTTTTTTAATTATGTTAAGCTTTGTTTTTATACTGCTTAAATACTCAATGCGCACGTGCGGATATGCTTGCAGGTTAAGAATTTCTGAAAGAACGTTAGCTATTTTATAATGTAATTGATGTCGTGGGTAATGAGCGTCTAAAAATTTGTTCAACCCAAACTTCTGCCTTATAATTTATAATAATACAAATAATCACTTAAACGGAGATTTAAAGGAAGAAGCTAATAATTATTAAATTGAAAAAAAAAAATGTGTTAATACATTAAATGAGTAAGAAAGAATCACTATATATATACAAATATGTATATACAAGCATAATGCGGCCATTTGTATGTAAAACATATATATATATATACATACATACCTACATAATTTGTTGTAATATAAGAAATCAGTTATCTTAGTTCTTATGGAAAATTTGCAAAGGAAAAAAAAAATTAAAAACAAAAAAGAACAACTTTATTCTCATCTGTGTTAGTTTAACATTAGATAAATGACCGTTAAATTCAACTATGCGTTTATTTTTGAAACTTTGCGAAAACTCACCACTAGCGGGTAGCTATTATATTAACAAAACACAAACATTTATATTTCATAGGAAATTAAAATATATTTAACTTTTCCCATAATGTAAATTAAAAACTTGTAGATACTTAAAATTTTTCCCAAAAAAAATAAAATAAATAAAATTGAAATAAAATAAAATAAAAAAACAAAAACTGAGATTAAAACTAGTATAGCCATAAAGATAATACTCAAAAACGATAATGTTGTAAGAAAATATATTTTTAATTAGGTCTAAGATTGAATTTGAAATAAAATAAAGAATAATTGAAATATAAAACAAAGTAAAATAATAAAGTTTACAACCAATAATAAATATACAATACATACAAAACTATACAACTAAATAGCCATGACAGTCAACACATAAACAACTGCATACATCCAAACACACATACATACATCTATTGAAATGAAATTCATACAAATCATGTAAAATAAAATCTGCGCTAATTGCAGAAGCGTGTTTCGTAAATGTTTTTGTATTAAAAAAAAATTATTCACATATACGCAAAGCAAAAATAAACAAATAAAAACATATTACTCCTCATCATCAGCTTAATGGAATCATCAGCCATTTTACACATAATTAATTAAGTAGCGAAAATAAATTGAGAAGAAGAATAAAAAGTTTCGTTAAAACTTGACACGCATACAGACTCCTAAACATGCCCACAAATAAAAGAAAAAAATTCAAAATTAAACTTACAACTTAAAATATATATATATATATATATATAATAAGCAAATTAGTAAAATAAATTTATAAAGTTAATGCTTACATACATACGGGTAATAAAAGTGTAAAACTTAATTAAATGAAATACATACATACATACATACACACGTGTACACGTAAATAAAAGATCATTAACGTTAAGTGCAGACAAGAACTAGAAAAGAAAACAACCAACCAACCAACCAACCAACCGAATGACAGCCAGGACAAATTTACAACAACAACAACAACAACAAAATTCTAACAAAAAATAAAAGAAATCGAAGAAAACACACCTACACGCATATATATATACATATATACATATATACTCGTGCAAGCATAGTTTCAACGACCACACATACATACATACATACATAACAAAATAAAGTAAAATTAATAAAAAGAAAAGCATAACGAAAACCATTTACATTTAGTATTATATATAAAATATAAAATCAAACTAAAATATTAGAAAAAAAAGAAAATGAAACGTTTTTAATATAGCAAGGAAAAAAATTGAATAAAAATAAAACATAAAACATAAAACATAAAACATAAAACATAAAACATAAAACATATAAACACTACTCCAAATGTCTTCAAATTGATAGGAAAGTAAAGCAGGTAACAGCGGCAAAGCGGCAAAGCGACAAAACGGAAAAGCAAAAGTGGTTTGCAAAAAAAAAAAAAAAAAAAAACAACAACAACGCTAAAACAGCCAGCATAAACACAAAATGTAGATATTGCGAAGTTAACTAAATTCGAGAAATATTATATATGTGTAAGGAGTGTCTAACATGCATGCATACATAAAAACATATAGATAAAAGTGGGAGAACAAGGTAAGGGCGTTATTTTAAATGAACAACACTAAAAACACATACGAGTACATACATAGATTTCGTAGAGTAGTGATCATTGAAAATACTTGCATACTCGTACATATGCATTAATAGACAAAATCTGTGAAAATTGCCGTGCACCGATATACTCGTACATACATACATACACGTATGTATATATGTATGGCAATGCATACGCTTTGTTACAATTTAAATTTAACCGTATGCGTTTGAGCTAAAAGGAAATTTAAGCACGCAATATACACATACATACATAACTTATTTAATGCAAATTGACCATCCAAAAAAATTGAAATTTGAAAATTAACAGCACACGTTGACAGAGTTGGTTGATCGCTAGAGCAGGGCAGTTTTGCACTTGATTTTTGAGTTGGAAATTTTTGAGCTATAATTTTTTTTTTTTTTTTTTTTTTTGGAAGGAACTCCTCGGTCAGTAATAAGGCAATGCCAACGCAATAATTATAGTTATATGTCCACGAATTAATTAAATTCCATTTTTATTATTATCAAGTGTTAATTGTGACCAATTTTATTAATTGTCTGTCTCTAAGTGTAATTACATATATATATACGTTTTTTTAATTGTAAAAAGGTCTTGCTATGCTCATAAAACATTCCATTAACGAAATATAATTAATTAATTCACTCTTATCAAATTTACGTCAGAGCCACTATTTCGTGATAAGACGAAAAGTATATGAAATACTTTTACATAAATACTTATGAATGCTAAAGTGAGCTTCAATAGCGATTAAAAGCTTTGTTAAATTTATTTTGATAGCAAAAAAATAATTATAAACTGCGAACTTGATTAGGAAATACGAAAAGAAATTTGTAATTTTGCTAAGTAAATTTCAAGCAGATATTTCGTATTTTATATTTAAATATATAGAAAAACAAATTAAATAAAATAAATTTATTAACTTTAAAATAAAACAAAAACTAAATTAAACGTAAATAACTAAAATATGAAAATAATTTAAATTTAAAAAGTAAAAAATAAAATGTTCGCATTATTTTATGTTTGTTTAGTTTGTATCTTTCAAAATTAAGAAAATTAAAATAAAACAAACGTAATGAAATATTAAAAAATTCAAAATAAAAATAAAAAAGAAATAATATTAAATAAAATACAGTAAAGTAAAACATAAGAAATGAAGAAATATAAAAAAATTTGGTAACAAAATTGTAATAAAATAAAGTAAATAAACCAACAAAGTGAAATAATACATAATAAAATGCGAAGGAAAATAAGAATATATAAAAGAAAAATCAAATAAGACCAACTAAAATAAATTGAAATTAGAAGATATAAATAAAGTTGTATAAAATAATTTAAAACTAATTCAAAATTTCGAAAAATTTTATAATTTTATTTTAATCAGCATTTTATTCTTTTGCTTGTTTCCTTTCAAAATATATATAATATTGCATTCAAATAAATTATGCATAAAACTGCCATATAACAAAATTAAATTAAATTTAAATAATTAAAAAATAAAATCAAATAAACTAAAATAACAATAAAAAAGTTTAACTAACCCAGTCCAATTTTTAAATCAAACTAAATAAAATAAAAATTAATTTAAAAAAATGAAAAATAAAATAAAATATTTGTACTCTAATGTACTCAGTTTTAATTTTTATAAATAATATTGTATCTATTTATTTATTATGCAAGACTAAATAAAAAATAAATTCAAATAACATAAGAATACAATAAATAATTTTAAAATGAAGTAAAGTTAAATAAATCATAATTAAACGAATTAATATTAAAACTGTTAATAAAATAATAAAAAATAAGAAAAAATTAAAAGATGGAAATCAAAATGCAAAAAAAAGTAAAAAACTTAAACACAAAACAAATTAAAACGAAAATAATAAAATGATAAATAAAACAAAATAAAGTATGTTTTTATTTATATTATTTCAGTTTTTTTATAACATCCAATAAAAAATATAATTAAAGTAAATAAACTAAATGCAATATAAAATGATTTAAAATAGAACGAATTGAACTATTAGCAATAAAATAAAACAAAAACAAAACTAAAAAAATAAAAAAAATTTAAATTAAAGTAAAGTCAAACAAAATAAAATAGAAATATAATAATATATCTAAAATAATGTATATGAAATTAATATACAGTAAATTGAATTACTAACATTAAATATATATTATAATATAATATTTTATTTTAACTAATTTCATTTTTTTATAACGTACAATAAATACAATAAAAAACAAAAATTAAAGCAAATAAATAAAATAAAATATAAAATGATTAAAAATAAAATAAATTGAATTAATAACAAAAAAAAAACAAAAAAAAATTAAAATAAAGTAAAACAGAATAAATAAATACAATATTTTATTTTATTTTTTATAATATTAATACATTAAAAGAAATTAAAGTAAATAAATTATATAAAATAAAAAATGAGTTAAAATAAATTAAATTAAATTACTAAAAAAAAATAAAACAAAAATTAGAAAGCATAAAATTAAAATAAAGTCAAACAAAATAAAATAGAAAGAAAATAACATAAAATAAGATATATATAAAATAAAATAAATTAAAAAGTAAAAGACTTGAAGATAAAAAAATTAAAACGAAAAAGTTATTAGATTGGTAAGCAAAATATAATAAAATATATAAATACAATAAAAAATGAAATCAAAGTAAATAAATTAAATACAATATAAAATGATTTAAAACAAAATAAACTGAATTATTAACATTAAATATATCTATATTTTTTAAATTAATTTGATTTTATTTTATTTTATATTTTGTAATATACAATATATAAAATGATTTAAAATAAAATAAATTGAATTACGAAGAAAGTAAGAAAAGAAAAACTAAAAAAGATTAAATAATAGAAAATAAAAATAAAAATAAAAAAAATTAAAATTAAGTAAAGTCAAAGAAAGAAAATAACATAAAATATGATATATATGATACAAAATAAAATAAATTAAAAAGTAAAAGAATTGAAGACAAAACTAAACTATTTATATGCATATGTATATAAATTAAATGAATTATTTTCAAATAAATGAAATACATAAATTTTTTTAATTTCTTATGCTTGTCACTTTTTGAAAATACTATATATATTGTTGAAAGCTCACAACTCCAGAATATAGTAGTATGAGATTTTTATTTCTAGAAATGTTAACTAATTAATGATGCAAGTTTCGGACCTCTCTCAATTGCCGTTTTTGAATAAATCAAAAAATACAGAAAATTTTGAAAATATTCTTTTCAGCGGCTTATAAATCGACTGATCTGAATATGGCACTTAAATATTTAAGGTGCTCTGATAGAAGCTTCTAGATAAAGAGAATTCTCCAGAAAGAAAGCAGACTAAATTCAGAATTTTGTTAACTTTTAAGCATATTACAACTCTAACACAATTTTCAAAGTAAATTTTTTTTAATTAATTATATTAATCATCTTATGGCGGCATTAAAAGTTCCAGAAAATGTGTTATATTCGAAATTTTAAATTAAATTAAAACTAGTCAGTAATATTGTCTTTCTTAAAATGTTTTAAAAAATATGTATACACATACAAATATATGTAATGTATGTAATTTGCATATACTACTAATTTATTACTATTATTTGTTTTCAATTTATATCCTTTTTTAATTTTAGTTACTCGCCAAATTTCATTGCTCGAAAATTAAATGCAAAGCAACTCGACTCTTTCAAAAGGACGCAAATATTTTTGAACCAGAAATGTGTTCACTAAATACTAATATAACAAAAATATACTTATTGATATAAAAAAAAAACAGTTAAATTAAAAACTAAAAATAAAGTAAAACTCCTTAGAGGAAAATACATACATACATACTTCAAATCAAGCAACAACAACAACAACAAAACGCAACCCTTCACCAAATTTGACTTAGCTGAGAGATGACTTAAAACTTGTAAATTTAGTTGCCGCTTTTTGGTAAATTAATGAAATTTAAACAAAAAAAAAACCACCTCTAGACTTTAGATAACTAACAAACATACCTACATACTTTATACTAAACTAAACTAAAGTGCAACTTTACTGTAAAGAAAATTACAAAAAAAAAAAACAACAACAACTAAAACAATTTCCCCATGTAACTATATTGCTCCCCCAACAACTATCAACTAATTATTACAAAAAAAAAAAAAGAATATTTCAGTTATTGTATTTCAAAAACCCAATTCTCAGCTTTATTTTGAGTACATTTTGAATGAAAAAAAAATGAAACAACTTTTTGAAGGATATGCACTTACGAGCATATTTGTATTATTGAAGAGTAACTAACTATTTACTTTATATTGTATTATTATCTACACTAAATTTAGTATTAAACTATATTGTATGCTCTTACTACTACATGCATACATACACAAAAAATTTAAAAAAAAAAAATAAGAAACACGCTGCTACTACTACACATGTACATAACATAAACATATAGCAAATTTCATGTAATGATACATACATAATAAGTACGTGTGTGTGCGTTTGTAAAAGACGATATGTACACGTGAAGATGATCTATTGTTAAATTTTTACCGCAAATTAAATAACTGTTAAGTGTGATCACGATCAATGAAGAAAAAATTAAAAATAGAAACTTAAATAAAAAAACATACATACACACATGAACATCAACAACAACAATAAATCAGCATAATTATGCGCAAGCGACAAGCAACCATAACGAAATTAATGCAACAAAAAAAAATATCCCATCATTGCAAACGCATTAAATAACCCATATTGGAAATTACATACATACATACACACATACATAAATTACAAATTTAACTAAACTCACGTAAATTGTTATTTACACACACAAACACACAAACAAACATGCAAAAACATAATGTTATAATTAAAACCATAAAACATAAAGGCGATTAGTTGAAAAGAAATGCAATAAAACTCAAAAATTTAAAAGAAATAAATAAAAATAAATAAATAAATTTAAATAAAATGAATTGTATTATAATTAAGAGAGTTCCATAAACAAATAGGTCGACATGAGTTGAGTCACAATAACTGCTGATAGTAGATAATGATTTATACCCTTTCCTTAGAGTACACGCCACACACACACACACACACACAATTAAGTTATATAAAATAAAATAAAAATTAATTAAATAAAAGTGAAACTAAACGTTTATAGGCATAAAGATAGCAAAGGACTTAAACTAATTGAAAACGAAATCGAAAACGCTAACAAAAAAAAAAACAAAAACAAAACAAAAACAAGCAGCAGAATAAAATAGCAATTTACCGTTAAGATTAGAAGAAGAAAAATTAATAACTGATACCCTTGGTCCCACTTACATACATGCAAACATACGTACATACATACACACATACACACACATATATATATACATATATCTATATATATACAATAAGTTACCATGACCAGAACGAGTATTAATAATGCCTGTTGTGTGCACGCCGCAGAAGAATTGTGCAAAATGTACATAGAAAAGAACAACAAAATTACAATCGAACACACATTGTAACAATGGCGTTAACAACAACAACAACAACAAACACTAAGAGCACAATAGTACGCAACGTTTACGTGCAAACGGTAAGCAAAATTGAACGTAGAAAAACAGAATTGAAAAACAAAACAAAAACAAAAACAAAACCAAAAACAAAAACCAAAAATATAAAGCAATAGTAACTTTTGGGGCATACAAAATTATTTAAAGCAAAATTAAAAATTCGTTAAATTTTTATTGAAAAGACCTAAATAAAAATATTCGCAAACATACACACATTTGTCTACACACAGTATTGCAGTTGAAAACCAATTAATACCAACGGCGTTTAACGGACCGCAAAACATAAACTAGCAACATTTAAAGTAAAAACACTGATAAATAATTAAAAATTAAATTAAATACAAAGTGGAGTTATAAGACAAACACAAAACTCGTTGCATTAAAATTCATTAAAAGCATAAAGCAGAATAAAAGAAATTGTAGTATTAACTAATGATAAACTTATATATATATATTAATATATATATATACATATATATAAATAAAGATATGTAATAATAAAAAATGAGCTAAGTAATAAATTTAATGAAAAAAAAAACATTGCATGAAGCAAAAAAAAGAAACATTACTGAAAACTTGATTGCCTAATTCTAATTAATATATATATATAAATATTAAACAAAATAAGAAAAACCAAAAAAAAAACAAAAAATCGCATATATACATATAAAAAAAAATATTGAAAAATAAAATAAAATTAAAATAAAAACAAAAATGTTATTATACTTATTATTAATGATAAAAAAAGAATTAATAAATAAAAAATTTTATTTAGATTACTAAAAGTGTTTTTTACTGCCTTCAGTCTGAGGTAAGATTTACACTTCCATTGGCAAATTATTGTATAGGGTTAACCATTTTGAGGTTTCAAAAGTACAATGCTGCATTTTGGCAACCCTTAAATTTAACTATCAAACCAAACATGTTTTGTTTAAGTTAAAAAAAAAACAAGCATTTAAGAAATACTGATCGCTTAACAACCGCACGTTCAAACTGGGGAAACCAACAACAAATAGAATTATTCAAACTTGACCACGTGTCTGACTTTAACAGGAGCTTCTGGTGCCCATAATTACCAACTACTCAAGCGATTGGTAAAGTTTAACGAAATTCGAAGAGAATAAATCGGTTATGGTTTTGGTCATCATATCTCAAATCACACAACTGTTAGTGAGACTGTAGCCGAAGAACCGAGTGTCTATATATATTTTCAAAGTCCAGTTCACACAACAACTGAAGAGAGTTGACCACTCATTCGCCGTAAATACGTGGATTGGGTGCTTGAACAACAAGCCGTGAACCCCGATTTTTGCACAAAATTTTCTTAAACGACGAGGCGCACTCGGAGGATACGTAAATAAGCAAAATTGTCTTCGAGTATCCGCAAATGATTATAGGGAAGGTATTACAATAAAAAAACAGGCATCTAGTAATATTACTGACAACCATAATTTGAGCCCTGGCGAAGTCGCTCGGCCTCACCACATTTGAATTATCCGACAGTTGTATCGAAGATATCTTCTCTGCCCACCTTGACGTTAAAGTCGTCAAGCATAATTTTAACATAAGTATGTTCTACGATAAATCTTCCTGCCTATACCGACCGTTTAAAGCTTCTGATTCCACAAGCGAGAGGCAAGTCGTAGGTAACTGTTGGGCGCCCTCTTCGTAGTGAAAATTCTTAACGGATCAATTTGTAGTTCATGGCTCTTATCTGAGGTAAACTTTAATGTTTCAACTCGTATATCTAGGCAGTTAAGGCCTTTACTATTAAAGTCATGTTAAACAAATTATGAATTGAATGGACTTTTTCGCCGATTGCGTCAAAATTTTAATTTTCATTCCAGCACCTTCGATCTCTCAGGCTCATTTTTAGGTATAAAAAAATTATTTTTACTTTTCTCAACAATTAAAATTTAAAATATTTACTCATTTTCAGCTGTTGAATTATTTTTTTTTTCTGTAGCTGAACAGTTTTAAGTCTCGACGCTAAACAAACGTTTCCCAATCATGAATTGGCATAATCCGTACGTTATGGGGATATCGTCTCTCGTGTCGGTTGGGCGGATGGCGGATATTGGTTGAGTTTATTATTATATTAGGCGCTCTTAAGAGGCATTCTTTATCAGATCGAGAAGACTCTTTTCTCTTCCGCCGGCAAGTGGTTTTTGCAAATCAGTGAGACGTCCATCTATTGGGGTGAATGCTAGGACCTGGAAACGGAGTCTCTTTCTTCTTAAACCATGACCTAAGGCTCAACGTGGACGTTTGTATCTGCATACCCAGAAGCTTGACAACATCCCATTATACCCCGCCCCAACAAATACACTGCGTAAAAGTGTCCTCGAACCACACTATATCAGTTCCATGAGCCATAAAAACAATGATTTAATTTTCATCTGGATGTTTGTAGAAGAAGCTACGCGCATTCTTACAAATATGTTATCAAACACGTTAGCAAATATTTGGATATTTATAAAAAAAAAAAAGTCGCATTTTTGAGTGGCAAAGAAAACGTGTTTCGCAGCACAATAACTCAGCCGAAAGAGCAATTCACCCATAATTACAAATATTCATATTTAAAAAATAATTATATATGAACATATGAGTTTTATATGTATATACATATGTGTGTACGACATTTATCAAGCACTTGAACGCAAGTAAGCCAAATTTATTGCCACCAACAACAAGAACAAATTGCAAGTGTTTCCGAATCTCAATGACGTCTTCGCTGAACTGGAAAACCAAGTGCTGTTGATGTCATCACTGCATGCTCTTACGTAATCCATTTGATATTTGTTGGGCGAAAACGGCTAGCAACAAGTGTTGACTACTTACCAATTATGTGATAATAAAAAGGTGTTGTTTTTGTAATAAGCAATGTACAATAAATTACGAATATAACTTAGATTTATCAAAGAATGTGTTTATATAGATATCATTAGGGATACCAAACACTCATGTTTAAAATTTAACAAAAGATATTTCTTACTTAGATTGCGCCGTTTCTTCCTTTCTTGTGCTGTTAGGCGCCAATTCAAAATACCAAGTACAGCCAGGTCCTTCTCTACCTGCTATTTCCAACGGAGTGGAGGTCTTCCTCTTTCTCTGCTTCCACCGACGGGTACTGCATTGAAAACTTTCAAAGTTGGAGTATGCGCATCCATACGGACCACATGACCTAGCCAGCGTAGCCGCTGCTTCTTGATTCGCGGTACTAGGAGTATATCAATGTCGCCGTATAACTCGTACAGCTCATCGTTCCATCGTCTGCGATATTCGCCGTTGCTTATGCGCAAAGGACCATAAATCTTACGCAAAACCTTTCTCTCGAAAACTCTCAACGCCGACTCATCCGATGTTGTCATCGTCCATGCTTCCGCACCATATAGCAGGACCAGAACGATGAGTGACTAGTAGAGTTTGGTTTTCGTTCGCCGAGAGAGGACTTTACTTTTCAATTGCCTACTTAGTCCAACGTAGCACCTGTTGGCAAGAGTGATTCTGCGTTGGATTTCAAGGCTGACTTTATTGTTGGTGTTGATGCTGGTTCCTAGGTAGACGAGATTATCTACGACTTCAAAATTGTGACTGTCAACAGTGACGTGGGAGCCAAGTCGCAAATGCGATTACTGTTTGTTTGATGACAGGAGACATTTTGTCTTGTCCTCGTTCGCTACCAAACCCATTCGCCTTGCTTCTTTATCAAGCCTGGATAAAGCAGAACTAACGGCGCGGTTGTTGAGGTCGATAATCTCAATATCATCGGCGTACGCCAGTAGTTGTACACTCTTATAGAAGATAGCACCTTCTCTATTCAGCTCTGCAGCTCTTATTATTTTCTCCAGCATCTAATTGAAGAAATCAGACGACAAGGAGTCACCCTGTTTGAAACCTCGTTTGGTATCGAACGGCTCGGAAAGGTCTTTTCCAATTCTGACTGCACTTATGGTGCTGTCTAGCGTCAGCTTACGCAGCGGTATAAGTTTTGCGGGGATACCAAATTCAGACATAGCGGCAGCTCCTATTCGTGTTGTCGAAGGCGACTTTAAAATCGACGAAGAGGTGATGTGTGTCGATCTTCTTTTCACGGGTCTTTTCCAAGATTTGGCGCATGGTGAATATCTGGTCTAAAGATATAATATCATGAAGGATATATGCGGAGCACAACTCCGATGTAGAATAATTGGATGCAGCAGAGCCCTAAGTCACAGTTCACACGGAAATGTTGATCCCCAAATGTGGATCCCGTACGCCCAAGATGGCTTTATAAGCATATTAGAGAGTAGTAGAGTAGTAGAGCCGACAATCTAATGCAAGTTCGCTATTTTCAATTTGGTTTGAGTAATTTTTTTTGTCTATGTGGTTTTTCCAGGTGAGTCTTTTATCTAATGTAATTCCCAGGTAGGTAACGAATTCTTTCTGAGGTATTGTATTCGCATTTATGGAGATTGAAGGACATGTGTCTTTTTTAGGGTAAATGTTACTTGTATACTCATTGACTTTAATTCTCCAAGTTGTTAGCCACTCTTCTATTACTTTTAAATGTTGTTGTAATCTGTAACTAGCTGTCATGGCGTTGGAATGGACGCTAAGTGTTGCTGTAACATCCGCAAAAGTTGATGTGATGAGGTTGCGGTTTGTGGGAAGATCGCTCGTTTAAATTAAATATAAGACGAGCCCTAAAACACTTCCTTGTGGAAAACCAGCAAATATTTCATAGGATTCATTGGTGTAACTTTTTTGCCTAACACGAAATTTTCTGCCAATATGAAAGCTTTCTAAGACATCATAAACTTTTACAGGAAGCGTTCCTTTCAGCTTGTATAATAGACCATCTAACCAAACTTTATCAAATGTCTGAGCAACATCAAGGAACACTGCAGTACAATATTTCTTGTTTTCAAACACTGCTCCTATGTGTGCTACGAGTCTATGCACCTGCTCTATTTTGCTGTGTTTTACTCTGAACCCGGTGTAAATGCAGTGGAAAGTTGCATGGCAAATGTGATACCCTTTTCCTGGTCGCTTCGAGCGCACTCACCATTATGAGTTCTCAATGGAGGGTCTCAGGTGACGGGACTTTTGAAACTCTTAACTTTTCGCCACAAAGAGTAGTTAGTATCAGAAGTAGCTGACAGAGATTGTACGGACTTTTGAAATTCCTTTTCCTTTTTTTTGTTTCAGGACATCTTGGAGCGCTTTTATGCATATATTGAGATCATTTTTTTAAGAGGGGAGCGAAACCTCTGCCAATCTCTCCTAATTTGTCTTTTTTTTGGTTACCAGACTTGTAACGTCTTTACCCCGAAGACCGTTGAAAATTTGTTCTCTATGAGTTTTAGATGGGCCGTGCGTGGCAATTTTCTGCATTTAAGCGAATTTATTGGTTAAGCCTAGCTATAAGTCATTGAAAACTGGAATTATGTTAATGGAACATATACAAGGCGAGTGATCAGATGATAAGTCGAAAAGGGGTTTTACGCTTACTTGTGCTGTACTGATACCACAAGTTACTCCAAAGTCCATCAAATCTGGGGTTGTGCTGTAAGTTGGCTGACCAGCAGATATAACGTCGAAACCGTTACTTTAAATGGCTTAATATAAATTTCTACCCTTTGGAGATATTAGCCTAGATCCCCAGAAGGAATGTTTTGCGTTGTAATCACCTGATACTAGAAACCGTTTACCTAATTTGGATAAGAAATCAGTAAATTGAGTTTCTGATAAGTTTCATCGGGGCGGACAATATATGCCGGAAATGTTTAATCCACCAGAATTATCATAAATATGAACTGGGGTAGCATGAAGGTAGTCTTTCCAGTACTCTTCCATTATATAATGTTTAATTTTTTGACTGATAAGTATTCAAGTTCCGCCTCGCGCTTTCCCTTCAGGGTGTGTGGTGTCATGGACCAAGCCATTGGCGTTCCAATAACATATCCTAAGGTCGTTCATGGCTTAGACAAAATCCCTTGAAGGGGGAGATTTTGATTTCGCATTAAATCTTGCATCATATTTTGCATTGATGTCATATGTTCTTGCATCATACTTATAAAGTTGTTTAGCGTATTTTCAAGTCTTCATTGACATTGAAATTTTCGTGAAAGACTTTGAGCAGCGGAAAAGAGACCCACACTTCCAAAAGTTCATTAAAGTGAAGACTTTTTAAACCAAGGGCACTGCAATAGCCGGGTGGTTAGTATTGCCTATTACCATTACATAAGGCCAGGTTTTGAGTGAGACCAACATCCAAAATTCCGACAGCAAATGTCTAGCATAATTCTGACATGAAATATATTGCTTCTCATAGAAGTCATTCAGCCCTTCCGAACAGGCTTAGACTAAACTGTAGGTCCCTCAATTTGTCGGAGAGACACAAAGACGCACATCGCAAATTGCAGGTAGAGCTCGGCTTTAGCGTTTACTAAGCGCCAATTACATATACATATATAAAATTATTCTTTTACCATTTTGTCCTAATTGACAAATAATTGGAAAAATCGATTTTCAAAGGCTACTCTTGAGGATATTTCTTCACTAACCAAACCATTTATCACAGACAGGAGCAGATGGTAATCACCTGGTGTGAAATCCAGGCCATAAGGTGAATACCCAAACAAGCTCTCGGAGTTTCTGGCGAGTCACTATTGATGTATGTGCTTGGTTTTGTCCTGATGAAACACATATCCCGTCCTGTTGGGCGATTATTTCCTTCAATCGGCCCAATTGCTGACAGCACGGCGTTTGACCTAAGAGCTGATGGTGGTAGATTCCTTGTCAATCACAACAAACATACAGCAAAACCTTCCGATCGTCTATCATGGCTTGACATCGTTTGTGACGGTTTACTGCTTTTCGACCACGACCAGTGTTTGTCAGTGTTGCTGTAAATGTTCCATGTCTTCATCACTAGAATGGTGATCCGCTCTCGAAATCGGGTCCGTTTTGTTACGATTCAGCAGCTATTCGAAGATAGAAATTCACTCCATGAAGTTTTCCCTCCTTAATTCATGTGACACCCATAAATCGAGCTGCTTTGTGTATCCAACCTTCTTCGAAGGTTGCCAAAGGGTTTTCTGTGCATTATTCAACTTCTGGGAAATCGAAACAGTGCTCGCATGACGGTCAGACTCGTAGATTTCCATTATTTTATTCACATTTTCACCAATTGGCCTTCCACACAGTGGCATGAAAACATTAAAATAACGGAACGAAGTCGACGAAATCCAAATAGTGCATGATTGATTTTTACATTATCAGGACTGTTCACACTTACAGCTGCCTGACTTGCGCTTTCGCCTTCGAAGAAAAATTGCCGAATGTAGCGTAGTTTCTTTTTGCAGTACTGATGTTTATCTTTGACATGTGCTCAAACTCCACCGAGTTAAGTGATCAACACTTCTCTAATTATCGTTTTTAGTACAAAATATCAAGCCGTATATTGAATGAAAATTCCTGGAGAGATTTCTCACATTTTCTCCTTCTCCTATCATAAATAAAATATTCTGCGGATATTTTCTCTTTTACTCTCCTCGAATTCTAACAAACTTAAATAGTGCTTCATCAATTTCATGATCCTTACCCACACCCGTCTGATAACCACCCTACTCGTTGAAACGTAAAGCAGCGCTCAGTAAACTAAATTAAATATAATAAAGCAATTTAAAGAAAGAGCATAATTACAGAGTTTCCGGTAAGATCGAAAGGATTCATCATATCCCCTACTTTCCGCCACATCATTCACTCTCTACGCGTTAATTTGTTGCCGATTCTTGCGCATTTGCTTCCGTAGCCAATAAATACAGCACCACAGTGTTTATGATTTTAACTTAATTTTTTTCACCAAATTATTCTCAATAATACCCAATATCAATAATCAGCTGATTTCGAAAGGGAAAAATCCTACTACGAAAGAATCTGTTCTCTCGGTCCATTTAGAATTGGAGGATTTTTTCTTGGGGGTTTTCGAAATTCGCAAGGGAGAATTTTCGCAAGAATAGTTTGAATTGGGCTAAGCATCTATCCAACGCCGTCTAGAATAATCCAAACGCTCTTGAACGCGAGATACAGATCACTAAAGCCATCCATTGCAATTATACCATAATGGATAAATCAATTATGGATTAATGACTTAGACCTAAATTAATGAAAAGTTTTATATTTGTACTTTGCAATAAATAAAATAATTAAAATAAAAATTGTAAAAAATACAGAAAGCCACAAAAAGGTGTCATCGGGTCTGATACTGTTAAATAAATACTAAAGTTTTTTTTTTTTGCTTTTCTATATGCCTATTTCTCTGGGTTTTTTTTTCAATTTATTTATTACTTTATCAATGGCTGAAAGTACAATAGGACAAGATACTGTGTATATGTATATTACTATTATTAATTATTAATAAACTTTTTTTTTATCAATTTTCCATCTTATTAAAAACGTTCACTACAAAGTTCGCTAATAATATTTAGTTGTAAGTATGTATGTATGTGTATAGTAAATATTTCGTAGGCGCAATAATAATCTGCATTTTGCTTTTTGAATATTGCAATTTGTGTTTATTTTTTTTCCAAGACTTTTTACTTCAATTCTATTGAAATATATGTAATACGTGTTAAAAGAAATTAAAAACTACTACTAATAATCCTAATCAGAATTAGTGGCCTTATAAAGTTCATATTCAATACGAAATCCAAATATTTTTAGTTAAACAAAAAAACAATAAACACAACAAAGCTTTCCAAAACAAAAAAATTAAAATTGAAATAATAAATTTATATGTATTTATTTATGTACGTATGTAAAAAAGTGTATGTATGCACCACCAGCAATATGCCGTTTTATTTTAAAAGTTCAAAATTTTTGAATACTCACACATTACGCATTGCATTATTTTGGTACATACAAAAAAAAAATATGTTTAGACATTTACAATATAAATACTCGTACATATGTACATATATAGCTAAAAATAAAATATATGGTCGAATGTATGTGTGTGCGTAAAGCTAATAACAAATTAGTGTACGCAAGATAGAATAGATAATTTATTACATTTGATTGAATAAATATACCGCTACGTTTGTATGTAAGTATGTATGTATATGTATATCTATATATGCAAATATTTATTGTATAGTTTAGCGTATGTATGTATGTGTATACTAACTATGCCCAAAATAAATATCAAACTTTTTGCATGTTCTTTATCCGCTTGCAATTGTAAAAGTCCCATAAACATCATTGCTTTGACGAATTTATTCATCCGTCGGCTGTGTAATGTATGCATGTATGTTGCCCGGTTTGCTTTCTGCTCAATTTCATTTCACTTGTTTACTCTTGTCCATTGGATTGCGTTGCAATTTGTAGTTTAGCCGTTTCTGTATTTAGACACTTTGGTGGTTGCAATAGATCTGTATATTGCAGCAATGCTTCGCGCAATGAACGCGACACCTCGGGCGATGTTGTTGTGGTGCAATCGACGAGATAGGGATATAAGCCAATCAGTTGGTCCCACGCTGGTTTATTAACTATAGATAAAATAACAAGGAAAATCGTTAATACTTATTAGTTTACTAAATGCATATATATATATACATATATATATATATACATATATATATATATATACATATATATATATATAATATATATATAATCTGAGTTTTGTAACCGCTAAAAAGATTTTCGCCCGCACCCGTCATCCAATTTGTTTGTGTGCGGTTTGACGTTTCCCACAATATGAAGGCATGTACATTTCATTCTAAGCGGTCTCCGAACGGCCGATGTATTTTTATGAGGAACTTTGAATTTCATGCCAGAAATGCACTCGGAGGTCTTGACATTCCCGCCGAGGGACGAATGCAGTTAGAAAAATCAATTTTCTATAGCTTTGAGTGTTGGGACAGCACTTGAACCATTGTCTTTCAAATGCCATTGTGCACAGATAATCACTCGTATATAGCGACCGCTGCCACCCTCGAGCTAGGGTATCATAGCTCTCTCTACTCTGCAAATTTCTTTTTCCAGTTCTAATTCTGTGCAGGAAACGCACTCTTCAATATCGAATGATCTTTAATACTGAGGCTTAACCCAGATAGATATTCAAATAAGAGCGGCTCTGATAGAACACTACCACCTACTCAGTCATTGAACTTTCGTCCAGCAAGAAAGTATTTTGGTCTTTGAGTTATGTAGGGCTAAAGGACCACCACAACAACAACGCAAAGAGTAAAATATCCTGAACGTGATTCTCTAAAAATTCTATCGATGTCAATGTATGTTAAGTTTTTTTCAATTTCGCAAAGTGCATAGCTAACTCCAATTCTTTTATAAAACAACTACGACCGTAAGAATTCGGAAAAACGGATCTTACTGGTATTCCTTCGGACAGAGAAGTGGCAAAAATAGAACAGGCAGCGGTTCATCTTCGATATAAATTTATCTGCCAAATCGCCGTAAGAGACCCCCCAGGCAAGGCAGCAGGGAGCTTTGGGAAGCAACAATGAAACATTAGCGGAGGAAAGGACGCCACTCTATGGAACTCCCGAGTTCAACCAGATTTCATCTGGTTACTAGCCTGTTTATGATAAGTAATGCTTTTAGATACCTTTTTTTTTTTTGAAATAATGGCTTCATGTTTGAAGAAAAATCGACTAAAATTAGAGAGAGTTTTCTCTTTGAAAGGGGTGTACAGCCTCTCGAGCAACCCGTTAAGTGATTTGAAAAGCTTTTGAAGCGTTTTATTTTGATTTGCGGATCTCTTAATTTAAATAAAATGTACTACTTTAGTTTAAATAATCAATAAATGGCATACCTTTCGATGGCGGTGCCTTCTTCATGGACACGACTAATGTAGCAATGGCTTTTAGTACGAAAGAAATTTCCGAAAGGCGGAATCTGTGTGAGAGAAGATAGCAATAACATTATTAGTTTTTTCATTTTCACACGCAGCTTAACTGTGTTAATAATTTTCTTATAATCAAATAGATTTCCAAACATTAACTCACCTCGGCAATGGACATTTCCCACTCTGTCGCTCATCATCATTGAAGCGCTTCAGGACCTCCTGAAATCGATGTAAGAGTGCAGTAACCGCTAAACGTCCAGCAAAGTCCTTACCACCACCGCCGGACACATTGGTAAAGACATTAGCATTTGTCAAGGCAGCATTAACGCCCGCCACCGTCGCCCCGGCCGCTGTTGCCGTTAAGCTGTTGCGATTATTATTGCAAGTATCATCGAGCAGCGAGAATTGCAAGAGCGTTTCAAAGCATGTCTTTGCGAATATTTCACGTAATTTCCAATCAGATTCATAGCATATATTCGAGTCAGAGGCGGAATGTATGGAACCTTTATTGAGTAGCACAACAATTTGCATTATAAATTGATGTGGCATTTCGTGTGCGTGTGGCAATACTTCGTCACGCAACAGCTCAATGACCTGACAATCGATGGTTTCATCTAACACGATTTCTTCAAGGCCACGATCTTCTATTGTGCAAACGCTGTGAAGGAAAAGGAAAGAAGAAATTGATATAATGAAAAAATAGTTTCAAATAGACTTCGTAATAATTAATTGGGTGTGATTTAGGCTCACTTACCTTGCGGGGAATAGAAATTTATCAAATGTATCAGCCAAATCATCCCACATGCCAGTGAAGTAGTTGGGCTTAGCACGTGCCACCTTTAAACCTGTATGTAGTATGGTAATCAAGCTGGATATGGCTAATTTCCATGTGCTGGACGAAAGACACTTATATTTCATGGCGAGCGGTGTGCGCAGTGCCTGTGAGGGAAAAGTTTTGAAGTTTATAAATACATATATTTAAAGTTATTAAAACTTTTACCATTAATACTCTAAGCCTGGACATTCCTTTTCAAGATTTTTATATTTTTTATATTTTTAGTTTATTTATTTTTTAATTTCCTTTTATTTTTTTTTATCTATTTGTTTCTTTCTTTTTTTGTGTTTTTTATTATTTTTTTAATTAATTTTTTTTTTTTTTAATTAATTTTTTTGATTTTTTTTTTTACTTTTTTATTTTTTAACCCTTTTTTTATTTATTTATTTATTTTATTTTATTTATTATTTTATAATTTATGTAAAGAAAAGTTTTGAGGTTTTTACATACATATATTTAATGATATTATTTAAGCTTTTACCATAAATACTCTAAATTTGGGCAATTATTTTCAGGATTTTCATATTTTTAATTATCTTTTATTTATTTTTATCTATATATCTTTTCTTTTTTTTGTATATTTTATTTTTTTTTTTAATTTTTTTTTTAATTTTTTTTTTTTAATTTTGTTTTTATTTTTTTACTTTTTTATTTATTTTTAATTGTTTATTTATTTTTATTTTTATATTTTTTTCTATTCTTTTTTGAATTTTTTTATCTTTTTGTTTTTGTTTTTTTTTTTTTGAGTTTAGTTTTTAATTTATTTAGGTAAAACTTTTGAAGGTTTTACATATATAATATTTAATGTTATTCAAACTTTTCCATAAATACTCTAAATCTGCACTTTACTTTTCAGGGTTTTTATATTTTTAATTTAATTACTATTATTTACTTTTATTTATTTTCTTTTTATTTTTTTTTAATTTTATTTTGTTTTAAGTTATTTTTTAATTTAATTTTTTTAAATTTTTTTTTAATTTCTATTTTTTATTTTTTTTATTTTTTATTTTTTTTATTTTTTTTTTAATTTCATTTTATTTTTTTAGTTAATTTTTTTTAATTTTAATTCAATTTTTTACTATTTATTTAATTTAGTTTTTTAATTTTTATTTATCTTAGATTTTTACATTTTATTTTATTAACTTTTTTCTTTCAACTTTTTTAATTTCATTTTGTTAAAATGTTTTTTACTTTCAATGTTTTTATTTTATTTAAAATTCTTAATTTTGTTTTTATTTTTATTTTATTTTTATATTTTTTCATTTTCTTTTCTTTTACTTTTATTTTCTTTTATTCTTATTTTATTTCCTTTTATTTTATTTTTGCTTTTATTTTTATTTCATTTCCTTTAATTTTATTTTTGCTTTTATTTTTATTTTGTTTTGTTTTTTACTTAATATTTTACATTTCGTTTTAATTTATAATTAATTTTTTTATTTAATTTAATTTAATTTTATTTTGTTTTTAAATTTCTATTTAATTTATTTCTAACATTTAATTTTTTTAATCTTTACTTTATTTCTTTTTTAATTGTTTTTTCTCTTTTTCTAAAGTTTTTTTATTTCAATTATTCTATTTCTTTTCAGTTTACGTACTTGTACATTTTATAGTTACAACATATTATTACTTTTTATATTTTTCTATTAAAGATATTATAATCTACATTTTTATATGTGTATTGTCTCTAAATATTTAAAAGTTGCTTAATTTTTACTTTTACTTCAATTTTTATTTTTATTTTTAAATCTGGTTTTTGTTCCTCTCATTTTATTTATATATTTTAGTAATTTTACTTTGTTTATTTTTTCCTCTTATATTTCTAATTTGCTATAATTTTCATATTTTTTATTCTTTTTTTATTTAGTCTCTTATTTCTTATAATATTTTAGTGTACTTTTTGTTTAATTTTCTATTTTTTTTGAATTTATCTACATGTGTGTAAAATACATTTTTTTTTAATTAAATTTCTTTTTAATAATTTGTATTTGCATCTCAATTTTTCTTACTTTAAATTTAAACATTTTATTACAAAACCTACCTTAATAATTTCATGTAGAATATTTTCATGCATAACACACTCCTCCGTAGCAGTGCTTTGATACAATTTCACACATATACTAATAGACTTTTCACCAAATGGTATAAAATTCATGCTGACCATTTCCACTGAAGCATTGTTGGTATAATGATTCGCTGTCTTTACATATTTATGCTCGACGCCAGTGTAAGCGGGTGGCGCACAAGCGAATTTGCTGAACACCAATAATTGACGAAATATAACAGGAATCATATGCTTCAAATTGGAGCCTTCCTTGGTGGCCTCCTACATAAAAATTATAAAATAAACATTTTTTTAATTTAAATAAAAGCAAACGCACCTTCTGGATGAGATCCATACAGTCGAGTATGCCGTCGTGCAAAGGCGTTAGTAACGAGTCTGATACAGAAGACATTATATAGGGCACGGCATCAGTTTGAACGGGTATACAAACAGCATTGGTCAATACAATGCAGAATTTTTCAAAGTCAGCTAAAGTGAATCTTTTGAGGAATATTCGAGAATTAGTTATGCTTAACAAAAAAAAAACTAAATTTTTCTGTGTTAACTAACCTTTGGTGTATATGCTGAAAAATCGCTGGGAAAATTTGTATCAGAGCAGTTAAAAATGCTTGACTGGGCACATAAAACTCCTCTTGGGTATCGTTGTTTTTCGTTGTAATCTTTGTGCTTTCAATGCCAATATTCAGCCAAATATTCCAAGCGATCTTTGAGTGAAAAATATTACAACACGTCATGAAAAAATGTAGAAAATTTTAAATTTATATCGATTTACCGTCCAAATCTCGGCATCTTTAATGCGCGTTGTTTCTTCATCTGTGAGTTGTACCGTTTTATCAGCATTGTGGTACATAATTTCCTGCAAAGACTTGAGCGCAGCTAATGAGACTTCGCCATTTTTGCTCAAAGCAGCATTTTGTATAAACTCCAACACCAGTGACCAAGCTCGCTCGAAATCGCCCAACATCTGTAGCAATTCGCGCTTGGTGTTGAAGACCTAAAATACAAAACATAAAGTATTGAAATAATAATATTTTTTCAATAAAATTTTTGTATAATTTGGAAGCTTACCCTACAGACACCCGACAGCGTAAGCACTTGTGTCTCCGCCCATTGTTTTTGTGCGGTGTTGCGCGAATGATGTATGAGTATATTGCCGCTGGCATCCACTTTCTCATTGCTGGCCGAACTAGAGAGCGCGCGTACGTTATCCAACAGCGGGAAGAGTACTTGCCAAACCAATGCTTGCCATGTAGGTGGATTTAGCAGGCTGCCATGCGCCGAGATTGTTGAGAAAAGCGTTTGACCCGCCGATTTGCGCACCGCCGGTCGCAGATCTACACATAACTCTCCCAGTTTTGCATACAAACACATCCAAAGCTTATCAAATTGTGGCATTTTAACAGTGCCAGGGAATTCAGGTAATATAGCGCCATCATCCACTTGGGTGGTCATTAATTTATCTTGATTTTGATTGAAGAAGTCCGAAATGTTCCACTGCAAAGCACAGATATTAAGTTTTATGAGCATTCAGAAGAAAATTCCATTTCAACGAACCATTAACCCAATTGCCGTTAGTGAAATATTCAACTCCTGCGTTTGCGAGCCAAATTTAGCTGCGGTCCGAATGCACAACGGTAGGCAGCGCCAGGGCATGACAGTCAAGAAATCGGTAATCACCAATTGAAGACACTGGAATGCGGTGCGTATCAAGGGTTCTCTGAAAAAAAAAATATATATATTAAATACATTTCTTTAGGGGTGAAATTTATAAAAAAGTGTAATGAAAAGTCAAAAAAAAAAATAAATAAAAATAAAAAAGTGAAATAAAAAATCAAAATAAAAATAAAATAAAAAAGCGAAATAAAAAATCAAAAAAAAAAATTAAAAAATAAAAAAGTGAAATGAAAAATCAAAAAAAAAATAATAAAAATAAAAAAGAGAAATAAAAAATCAAAATATTAAAATAAAAAAAATTCAAGAAATAAAAAAAAGCTACAAATAAAAAAAATTCCAAAAACAAAAAATTGAAAAAATAAAAAAAATCAAAAAACGAAAATAACAAAACAAAATTCAACGAAATAAAATAAATTCCAAAAATAAAAAATCAACAAATTAAAATAAATTCCAAAAATAAAAAAAATTCAACAATTAAAATAAATTACAAAAATCAAAAATATGAAAATAAAAAAATTCAAGAAATAAAAAAAAATTAAAAATAAAAAAAATTAAAAATCAAAAAATTCCAAAAACAAAAAAATTAACAAATTCAAAAAAAAAAAAAACAAATAAATTGGAAAAATAAAAAAATTCTAAAAACGAAAATATCAAAAAATAAATAAAGCAAAACTCAAAGAAATAAAATAAATTCCAAAAATAAAAAATCAACAAATTAAAATAGATTAAAAAAATTAAAAAAAATCAACAAATCAAATAAATTACAAAAATCAAAAAATAAAAAAAAATAAAGAAAACATAATTCAAAAAATAAAAAATTTCAAAATAAAACAAATTTTTAAAAATTAAGAAATTTGAAAGAAGAAAATCTAGTTCTAATAACAAAAACGATTCAAAAAATTTCAAAATATAAAAAAATTAAACAAATTTCAAAATATCAAACAGAATTCAAATAATAAAACGAATTTAATAAGATTGAAAAAGCAAAAGGAAATTTAAAAAATAAATATTTCCCTTACTGACTTAATTTATTATTTAACTAAATTTTCTGTAAATTTTTGGATGTCAGTATAATAAGACACCAGGATTTGAACTCGAGTCTTCCAAATGGGAATACGCAATGCTAACCACTCGAATACCGCGGCCGGCAACAAATATAATAGAATTAAAAAAATCAAAAAATAAACTAAAATTAATAAAAGAAAAAAATAATAAAAAAACATATGAGGAATGAAAAATTAAATAATATAAAAACATACAAAGAAATAATTAAATTAAATGCAAATATACATTTAAAAGATTAAAAAACTATATTTTTTTTTAAATAAATAAAAATTAATATTGATAGAAAATAAGGAATTAATATAATAATAACTAATAATAATACTAAATTCAAAGTTTAAAAAATTTGTCGTCCTTAAATATATAAAAAAAACAGAAATGTAATAATATGAAAAATTATAGAAAGTATCGTTCTTAAATTGTATACCCATGATGCTCATTGACAGCGCCAATTATCTCAATTATCGCCGGCCAACCGAATGACAATATTTCTCCTGCACCATTCAATATCTGCAACACACAATCGAGTTGCCGTTGGCGCACATCAGCATGCATGACTGCAGAGAGTTCGGAGAGTGGACTTAGCAACATAGTTTGTAGCTCCATATTTTCCTTTAGTGGCACGCTGTGTTTAAATTGCAGTGCAGACTTCACCAAGTAGGTAATCGCTTCAACACCCCATTCACGCATGCGTATATGACGATGCTGACAAACTTCAAGTAAATGATTGGTTAGTGGACGCCATAAAACCTCAATGCGTGGCATATTAACAAGACCAGTTTCGAGTAGTTTGGCCACAGCGAATAGGGAGGGCTCCTGAAATTTATAAATAATTTACATGAATTTTATTAAATGTGATTTAAGGATATCTACGCTACCCTATTTGCATAAGCGAGTTCCATAGCTTCGTGCGAAAGTTTGCATAATGCTTCGATCAAATGATGCAATGCCACATCATCCAAATACTGACTGGATTCGAAAAGTTGACTCAGCATTTGTGAGAGTACAGGCAAATCGGCCATAACAGCGGTTTGAATGCCGACATTAGCCTCAACAGCAGGTTTCGGAAAGGCCTTAATTATTTAAGATAAAAAAAAAATATTAGTCAAATAATGAGACTTAAAAGTGAAATAGTACTCACTTGCAGGCTGCCGCCAGTAGAGGGTTTTAAACCCAAAATCCAAACGAGATGTTGTAGTGTTTGCAACACAATATGCCAGGAAGTGCCGAGTATGCTGCCATTACTGCGTGCTAGAAACAAAATAGCACGCATACACTGCAAATTTTTAGTTGTCAACATAACGGGCGCTTGCATTATGTTTTGCGGCAGCGAAGCGCTCGGTAGTGGTGTGCCCACAGCGACGATTTGCTGACGAAAGTCTCCCTCATTACAAGTATTCATAAATTGGTTATTTAAATCCTGGCTGTTGCTGCGTGCGTGACCTGAAGAAAAAAGTAATGAAAATAGTTTAAAAAAATATATGAAAAAAATAATATAAAAAATTGAAATTAAACAGTAATACAAATTACCGCGCAAATCTGCATCCATATGGGCATTATTTGCAAATATTGCCGCGGCATAGTGCGGTGGGAAGGAGGCACGACATATGGCCATTATAAAAGCGTCACGTGGCCCCAGCTGATCTAGTAGGCCACAAAGTGCGGCAAAGTTTTGCATAGCTTTTAAAATATTATCCGTAGTCGCCTCATCAACGGAAGCATCAATGAGTGGCACGAATGCCGAAAGTAAACCAGCCCAACTGGAGGTGATCAATTGCAAGCACAGCGGCTTGTGCTCCTCTTCGGTTATAATGTCGGTATTATGTGCCGGTTGTTGCTGGAATAAATAAAAATTAATGCAAAAAATTAAATATTGTCACCACCTAACTCACCATTTCTGGTGTACGCTGTATAACGCCGCCAATGGAACGTGTTATATCCAAGAGTATGGCATATGCAACAGAAATGCCATAACTGTCTGGTATAATGGGTGATTCCAATTTATCCAACATCTCCAAACTAAGAAATTGGGATTTTAAAACGCATTGTTGTAGTGAAAATTAATACTTACTACACAGCTTTAGCCACACCGGGTGGAAAAGTGGCTACGAGTGACAAATAAACGCCACGAAACATGAAGCCACAATGATTGCCCGCATTATGTGCAGTTGTTGGATTATTTTGATTACTAGCTGTTGGTTGGCCATTTTGCACTGCAAATAACAATAACAATATAAATTAAATAAATAAAATTTATATTTTTCACTTACAAGCGGCCGCATTTATGAGTGAATAGCGCACGTATGTGCCTAACGCGGAGATCATATCATGTACAATGTTGGTGGCATGATTTTTAAGATCATATGATTTACAGAAAAAGGCAATTAAATTAGGTTTTGTGGCAAGTTTGTGTATGACTTCTAAAGCGAGTGAGCGCTGCCAATGGGGCTTATCGGGGTCGAGGAATTTTATTATCAAAGAAAGGAAAATTTCACATTCAGTAACCTGTGAAGAGAACATTTAAATATGTATATAAAACAATGTAAATAAATCTTGTTTAATGTGCATTAAATCTTACCAAAATGGTGTGATACTTTTGTATTAGTATCGCCACTAAGCGCAATAAACGCATACTGATTGGAAAATATGGTTTGTCATTGGGCACCGCTGTGTTGCCATTGTTCGGTGTTGGTACTTGGCGATGTTTTACATTTGGTGAGAATAATTTTATCACCAAAGCGCAAACACGTTCTTTGAGTAACAAACGGAAATCGTTATTCTTTAATGAAAAAAGTATGATAAATATGTATATAGAAATTTGCATGTTGCCAAGATACCTCATGAAAAACAGCGCTGAAATTTGTTAATACTGCTTCAAGTAATTCTAAACCGAAGGAGCGAGTCATTTCCGTCATGCCAATAAGCCAATAGGGTTGATCAGTATTTACTAGTTGCACGAGATCCTGCCAAAGGACAATAGCATTTTAATTCTAATTTTAAATACAATTTACTTTGCTATTACCTGGAATAGGAAAAACGCATCTGCTGCAAAGGTTTGCATTTCAGCACTAGCGCCAGTACCGTTATCAGCGTCCAAAGTTTCTTTATTCGCATTCTGATTAACTCCATGCAGCGTTGCTACCGAGTCCTTTTCCAAATACACACGTTCAAAAACTAGGGAAACAAGTTGCCGTATTGTAGCACCTGCTGTATTAACAATTGTCGAATTCTTGCTATAGTGTAGGCGGAAGCAGAGTACCAGCGATTTGGCCAACGTTTCGCCGTGTACCACAGTGTTGGTGGTCAGCAACAGTGTTACAGTTTGCAAAACCTTCACTTCTTCAATATTGTTTTCCATAAGCATCCAGAGTGCATCGGTTATGTAGCGTGCACCTTTCTGATCAACCACTTGCTGGGTGATAAGGCGCTGCATCATACCCAGACAGTACTACAATATTAAATATATTTATTATATATTAACATTGAACGTTTTAATTACAAGTAAAAACATACGATAAGATAAGTAATAATAGTTATTGCCGGTAAAAATAACTGGTGGTAGTGCATATGATTGTGTGTCGCTTAGTGACTCACCTTAATGATTTTTAGGTCTTTGGTTTCACATCCTTGCACAAGTGGATAGAGAATTTGATTGACCGTGTAATATACGGATGTTTGTTGATTATTGCTTGCTGCACTCAATTTGGAAATAGCCTCTTCACATGACTACAGAGATGATGAAAACGCATTATTGCAATTTTTTTTATTAAAAGATCTATTGTGTGTAAATTTAAACAAATGCTCATTCTTTTTATTTCATTTTGCACATTTACATATGACAACATTGTCGATAAATGCAAATGCTATAACAAAAAAGCTAATTAGACAATAGTTACTTTTTCACATACATACACGTATGGCTTAAATAGCCCAATATACCACCCCCGCACTTATTGCACTCAGCTCTGACACAGAGTTTCTCCACATACTCGCACATACTTCGTTCAAACAACGCAGCATTTAATTTAATTGAAACGCACACTATAATTTATTAATTGTTATTTTCTCACCTCCTTTATTAATGGATACTTTTTCTTCGTTTCCAAAGAAAGAGTTTTAAAATCTGCCCGTAAGGCCTCTACAAATTTATGCACCGACTCATTACCACCCGTCGAGGTGCGTACGAATGACATTTTCACGTCTTATTTTTTAGATTTTAACTATTTACAAATCAAGTTGTTGTTCTCTTCTGTTACTTTTAACACTTAGCATTACAATAAAATTGTTTTGTCTATAAATAAGTTGCAAAACAATATTTTCTTTTACAGTGAAAAAAACTTCACAAAATTTGCCAAATACGTATTCTTTCTGCACTGTTTGTGTGGTTGTATTGTTTTTTTTTACCCCATTTTGACAGCTGACGTGACAATATGCAGTTCGAGAGGCGGTGCGGTTTTTATGAATGGCCAAGACCAGAGATGCCGAGCGTTATATAAAACACACCAAAATTTGAAGAACTACGCCTTTTTTTTTAAATTTTCTATACCAAAAATAGTGTACTCACAGGAAATCACAGAACGATCTTTTTGTATGAAATAAGCTTAATTTATTAAAATAGAAACAAACTATATACATACAAGCGATACATAAATAACTAAGCACATCATTAATATAATTACTAAATAAAATACTATACACTACATATACAACAGCCTTAATTCTTGCGGAAGCTTAGCAGCGTAGGATAAATTTTGTCCAAGCATTCCATTATGTCCTTACGCGCTTTAGCGCCGGTAAATACAATTTTCCCATTCACGAAAATTAAGAGTACCATACGTGGATTAACCATGCGATATATTAGCCCTGGAAAAAGTTCTGGCTCATATGAACTAAACTGACCATGCATTTGATTAAGATTTTCCAGGCGAATTGGAAATCTCAAATCGACGGTGGCAACGATATTTTGTAATTTAAAATCTACAAATTTAACTGGATAGCCCAACTTCTGCAATATGCGTGCGAATTTTCTTGCACCCAAACTTGCCTCCGCCTCATTGCGTGCGCCGGTACAAATTATTTTCCCCGTACGGAATATGAGTGCCGTACAACGAGGTTCACGCATGCGCATTACAACACCGTGAAAGCGGGAGGGAGTATATTCAGAATTACGTGTACGAAAATTTATATCCTGGAGATTCAATTCGCAAGCCACCGAAACTGTTGCAACTACGTTTCTGCGAAATTTTGGAAATGATTTCAGAAACTTAGTTTGTTTTAAAGACATTGTACTCACTGCAGTTTCACCTCATGTTGCACATCCTTCGGCTCAACAATGGGAGTGACAGCCGGCTGTAGTGGTTGCAGAGTGTTGTGCGGATTTTGCTAAGATATTGATAATGATAAAATTAAACTTTTGAAATGCTTTAAACAATGGCTTACCTTAGAACTAGCTGTAGTTTGTAATAAACTTCGTAAAGCTGAATCGGTTGTTGATTCCATGTTTCTCCAGACGATATAAACAATGTTCCAAAATCCGCATGTCAGAAAAAGACGATTTTGACGAATACAAAAATGCCAGCTGTTTAAATGATTAATCTCTTCCTCTTTTTCTTTCCTTCATAGTAAACACACACAGCGTTGCACTTCGAAATATTAGGGTCCATTATATTTTATGAAAACATGATTTAATTAACAAAATTTGATCATAGATTTGTTAATATCACAAGGAAAACTTTTTCATCCACTTGAAAAAGATACACACATTGAAGAAGAATAACATCGAAATAAAAAATTATTGATTAATTCACCCAAATCCAAATTCATCAACGAACCATTTCGCCTAAGTGAGAATTTGACGTCATAAAATGAGTGAATATACAAAATGCATCCCTGTGTAATCCAGTCGTTCTCCAAAACTAATTGGAGTTTTTTGCATTACAAAGTTTGAGAATCTTTGAGCCATTCGTTTGATTCGGTTGTGAGTGATTTTTCCGGAAAAATAAATATAAGTGCAAATTGAAATATTTGGGCGTGCTAAAATTACTAGTGAAAACGTTGAAAATTTTGGAGACCCGGTGAAGACTTAATTGTGAGTTGTTATTTCTAATTTATACATATTGTGCTTAAGTGAATATTCTAGAAATTAAACAAAAAGCCACATTATCAAAAGAAGATAGAAACTAAACGAAAAAAATCATAAAAACGAAGAGAAAATACGAATGTCTTGTTATTACATATGTACATATTTCCAAAAAATTCCATTGGTTTAATGTCTTTTTATTTTATATAAAAAATCTTCAAATTTTCAGAAGGCAAATGACTAAAGAAAAATGATATTTAAATGATAATGTAATAATGTAAATTCATGAAAAAGTAGAAAAAATTTCAAAACTAAACCAATTGTAACAACAATAGTGAAGTGCTGGCATTTATAACAAAGTGAAATTAACTTAATTGTGCGCACAATTTTATATTTCTTGAGAAAAGCGACAGCGTAGGATGCACATCAAGAAAGAACAAACAAAATTATTAAATCAAGACGCAGATGAAGAATATTAACCAAGGAAAAAGAAAACAATAAACTATTAGGGAAAGGCGCCGGCTGACGGTTCATTCGCTTAAGCAGATAAAAACAGCTGGATAAACAAAAGTTTGCAGCAAAAACATTTTTACTAGGTCACAATTTATATATATACATACAAACTCTAGACAATGCAGTGCTATTCTGTTAATTGAAATACATTCATTGTGAAATCTTATTTGTAGTGCTCAACAATTACTATTATTTTAAAACATATAATCTTAGTAAAGTTTCATACGAACTCATTGTGCATGCTGGGGAATTTGTGCTTACATCTAAATTTATTTCTTGATGACCTACTAAAATCTAAAAACGAACTAATACAAATTCTCGCCGATTTTACATTATTCTCTTTTGATAATCTATATCTGATAAAATTAATAGCCAAAATGTCAACTGCGTTTCTTACCGCCATTGCGGTCATCATGTGCATCCTATTCCGCATACTAAACGTAAACAGTCAACCGCTGAAACCGAGCGTTTGGTGTTTGGATCAACAGTTTCTAGATTGTATTTACAAAATTGCACCAGTGCTGAGGGAACCGTAAGTAAAAAATAAAAAACACCTTAAACATTTTATATTAACGGATAAATAAAAATAGAAAATAAAGTTAAGGACTAATAATATAGGTCTGTTTATTAAAAAAAATGTTGAAAACTTTTCTAATCAGAACAAGATAAGCAAGTAAAATCTAGTACTTTAAAGATTTATTAAAATATATTTTTATTATTATGGATTAAAAAATCTGATTAGATGAAAAGTAGCAGAAGTGCGATGTTCGTAGAAATATAAAAATACATTATGTAGGGTAAGTGCGCCCGGTAAACGTACAGAACTAAGGTTTTTACAAGAAAACCCTTAATAAGACCATGAATTAATTTACAAAGCTATAGAAATTCGATTTTTATGTAACTTAGCTTGGTGCACCGATTGAAAAGTGTGAAAAATTTACAATTTTTGTTAGGAAGAGTTATGTTATTATTAGTAGAAACGGGTTTGACACTGATTTTTATTATTGATAATTAATATATAATTAATTCGAAATAAATATTTTGCTGGAAAAAAAAGTTTGTTTAATAAGTTCGACTCTCCGTTTAATGGAATGAAATCGAAGCTTGTTTTCAATGTACGGAAAGTGCGTGCGGTAATTGAAAAAAAGAAATCTTATATAATCATAAAATAAAATAAATAAATATATATTACTACATAATATATATAAAATGGCAGCTTTGAGAAAAAACGAGTTCTCAATAATGAAAATATTTTGTGGTAGAATTTACAGAATCCTTAAGTCCGTGGGACGAATATATTTTTTAATTAGAAGTGGGGATGATCTTCGTCCTCTCTGGAAATGTGGATGCGAAGACCTACTCCACACAAAGCAAATACGACTTTTTTTTACAAAAGTGATTTTTACAAAAAAAAAAAAAAAAAAACTGATATTTATAAAAATTGCCATTTTCAGTCGATTTAAAATTAATTAAAGATTCTTAGTTGGTATCAAATTTTTTGAAATAGTTAGTAGTATGAAGGAAATTTGAACATGAAGTTGAAGAAAAATTTAATCGTCCAATAATTAGCACATTTACCCTACCTCTACATTTCCTCATAAAAATAATACTCGTTGAAAAATAAGAGAGATTGACAATAAGCACTACAGAGACATATGGAAAATTTATAGGCCATAACACAAAAACTCCAAGAAATTATTGTAAAAAATTATTGTAGTTTCCTTATAGAAACGTTTTTTTTTTTATATACCTGCTTATGTACCTATCTTTATATTTTATGATAGTATAGCGAGTTTTAGTTATAAACATTCGAGTTGCTATCTGAAAAGAAATACGAAATTATGAATCAATATTTATTAATCGCAGCTGGGTCATGTGGTCACTGTGTGACCATATATAAGAGTTTATAAAAAAAATATTTAAGGAAAATACAAATAATAAATATGTAGAGCTAATATGGAAAGGGAAAAATGTCGCATGGGATTAAAGCCGGTTAATAAGTTCCTTAATCGACAGTATTGAACAAGTTTTTGGGCGATTGAAAATTCGACATGAAAGTTTCCGGATATTGTTGGCCAGCAATTCCTGCCGTTTACCCTCTATTGGCCGTCTGTCCCGTTGGAATGAATTCATGATGAACCAAATCACGAATATCAAAAAAAAAAAAAAAAAAAATTCCGGAAAGTTTTTTGTCTTTCATTACTATCACGGTTTTTGAAACATATCTTATGCAAACCAATAATAATAATGATAAAATCCTCTACATAATTCATATAAAAAATTAGTACTTTATTTAAAACTTCAAAAATTTGAACAGCTTAAGGGGCACACCTAGTGTGAAATTTCAAAAAAATCGTTCTTTTTTCATATTTCAGTAGATTACACCTTTTAAAGATAACATATTAAAATCTCAAATCGATATCTCAAATAGTTTTTGAGTTATAGCAATTTAAAGAGCAGCCGCTCGGCAGCTAGAGAGTCTCATTAGCTACGAGTGAAAACGATCATTTTATCTTTAAACGCTTTTTTCTCGAAACAGCATTTTCCGAATTTGCTGCAGTGATTACTCATAAGCAAATAATCCGATCACTATCGAATTTTTTTACATGTTCCGTATATAGTTCTCTGACCTATCGATTTTTGCTCTGATCAAAAAATCGAGTTTTGGCAGGCCAAAAACGACCAAAATTTTGGGTAAAATTCGACTATTTTTTTTTTTTTTGTCAATTTCCATCCACGGAGAAGGTCGGAATCACTGCAGTAGTGAAGAACCTTTTTTTCGCGCCGTTGGAGATCGACTTTGACTTAAAAAATATAATATTTAATTTTTTTCTTCAAAAATTTCACTGTATATTCTTGAAACATGTATATTCTTAAAATTTTGAAATAATTTATAAAGTATTTTTTTTTAATAAAAACTCTCAAAAAACACTTTTTTTTGGCACACCTAATGCCCCTTAATAACTTACTTAAATTTAGTTTTGTACCAATATTTCTACATATTTATATTTTAATCCTTTCAATCATTCAAAAGAAATGTCACGCGATTCTTTATCTAATCATGGAAGTGTCTAGAAACATGCAGTGATTAAAATCAATAATTTATACTACTTCTTTATTCTTCAATTATACCCGTCATGCTAATATGAAAGTTATTATGAATGTACAAATGCACAATTATAGCCAGTTTATTAAAGAAAGAGGAAAATAAAAGCAATAAAAGCAATAAATGCCAACTAGTTGTTAGTCTTATTATGCTACGCAAAAACAAACATACAAAAATATGTAGTATATTTAACAACAACTTCTCTCCTGCTATGTAACAAGAGAGTTGGCAAAATTCACCGTCAAAAGCATTGAAAGCCACATTCGTTATAATTAATATACATAAATAAATATTTATACATAAATAAGTAGTATATTATTATAGTATGTACATATGTATATATTAATATATTTATAAATTAATTTCATTGTATTTTTGTTAACAAATGTATACATCATATCAGTATTTCAATATTAAATTTAGAATTATGATAACCTTGCATTAGACCGAAGATCAGATAGTGCTGTAGATGATGAAGACACACATAAAAAATTTCCAAAACTTTTGTTGGAATTTTAATAAAATCCCATTAGTTTTTTGCGTTGATGTAATGTAATGAATTTAAATTAAATTCTTGCAGAGGGCTTCCGCAAAAAGTTCATTAAATTATTTCTCATTTTTAATTAATATATAATATATATAAATATAATTATATATATATATATATATATATAATCGAAATGTTTAGAAAATTCGTTCATAAATTATGAAATAAAATATTTAAAAAAAGATGTATGAAATATGAATTTATAATTCTAAAATATTAATTTTGGTATCAGGTGTACAACTTTGCTTCCGCTGTTTTTTTTTCCAAAATTAAAAGCTTTATTGCGAAAAAGTGCTTGCAGATATATTATTCAAAGTATTGTCCTTCACTAGCGACAACTTTCTCCCATCTTTCCGGCAATTTTCGGATCCCGGCTCGAAAAAAGGAGTCCTCTTTTGACGCTATCCATAAAGTAATCCATTTTTACAATTCTTCGAAGGATTGAAAATGTTGATCTGCCATCGAACGGAATAGGTGGAAGTCAGAAGGGGCGACATCTGGGGAATACGGCGGCTGGGGCAAGACTTCCCATTTCAGCTTTTCCAGGTACTTCTTGACCACTTATGCGACGTGAGGCCGAGCATTGTCGTGTTGGCTGATGACTTTGTCATGTCGCTCTTGATAGTGTGGCCGCGTTTTTATCAGCGCGCGACTAAGGCGCATCAGTTGCGTTCGGTAGCGATCTGCTGTGATGGTTTCACCAGGTTTTAAAAGCTCGTAGTAAATCTTTGAAGGTTTTTTCTCTTCCACCACCATGCATGTCTTCGACATCGAAATCATCATTTTTAAAACGTTGAAACCACTCCCAACACGTTCTTTCACTCAGAGCAGCATCACCATAAGTTTCTGAGAGCATTCAATGCGCTTCAGCTGCATTTTTTTTTCGAATTGTGACAGAAAAGTAAAACTTCCCGCAAATGGCGAGAATTAGGCACATAAACGGACATTTTCGAGCGTGAATAATACGAAAACAAGAACAACTGTCACAGCAACGGTGATGACAATTCGTTAGGCACTGTCCACACTCATTTTAAAGGCATTATCATCTATGTATTTCAAACAGCATCAGCCGGCTCGGAAAACGGCGGAAGCAAAGTTGTACACCTGATAACATACGTGTATATATATATATATATAATTTGCAATTTTTAAGCGCTGAAGCGATTTTGGGCCGAGCTCCTCCTCCAATTTGTGGTTTTTGCGTCTTGATGTTTTTATAACAAAATGCAGGGTCTACAGTTTATACTAAGCCGTCTCCGAACAGCTGATGGTATTTTCTTTATGACGAGCTCTTATTTCATGTCCGAAATACACTCGGTGGGTTTGACACTCCCTGCCGAGGGACAACAGCAATTAGAAAATTTAACTTAATTTTTTATTTAAATTAATTTTCTATAACTTTTTGATGCTGGTGGCACGAGCTAAGAGCCCGAGCCTTCCGAATGTCAGTACGCAATGCTAACCACTCGGCTACCGCGGCCGCCAATTAGTATAGATTAAAAAAAAAGTATACAAAAATTTAAAATTCTATTAATTTTAAGTCCAAATATTAAATTTGTTTTGCCTTCTTATGCAATAACAAATCATCGAACAGTAAAAGGCAATGATATCATTGTTTTAAGACTTTTGCATTTGCATTGCCACTGATAAAATTTAACACAAAATACGCTCCCACACACATTATACTGTTACCTTAGAAGTCACTTCGTGCTACATACAAATTCACTTTTTTGTTTTTTTTTATTGCAAATATGCTTTTGCGTGGGCAACAGAAAAATATAAAACTAAACATACATACATACTTACATACATACATACATACATACGTTAAAAACGAAAGTGAATTAAAAATACATACATACAACTCAATATGTACATC